ATTAACAAAAAGGTTTCCTTATAAAAAATTAATTATTTCATTTTATTTTTAAACTCGTTAAAAATTTACAAATTAAAAGCAGAAAACATAAATAGGCATTTCTAGTTGATTTCCTTTACAATAACAATCAATTTACCAACAAACTTCTTGATACATGATTTTAACGCAACCCAGAACCACTTTTTTATCTGCAGCTATAAAGTCACTGCTGCTTCCAATTTGATTGTCGTCGGCACTTTTGATGACTTCAATGTTCATTGATCCAGCCATATCCTTGTTATCTTCTCTGATAGCTCCTTGAATGGATTACACGAATTATTACTTCCTTAATTTATTTATTTGATCAAAGTTCTTACCAGCATTGACAATGTTGAATGTGCATGCCAAAAGAACGACTGCAATTGTACAAATTATTGTGAATTTCATCTTTGAATTTTAATTAAATTTTTATTTTTGTGACTTGATTCTTGTTCAAACTATCTTTAGCTAATGATGATTTACAGATAGAATCTTGAGGATTTTATAGTAAATTTTTAGATTGAGAGTTTGTGAGACAAATCAATTATTTTTCTAATCGCTGTCTTTAATCCATTCATATTGAAATAATCAAGTATTTATTATGGAAATTCCTTCGCATAATACCAAAAATGGTGAAATAATCGTTTTTATTTAATTTCATATTATAAATTGATTCTGATAATACTTTTAACATTTCATCTTTGTACCATCCTGCTTTATGTGACAATATTTTTGATTAAGTTTAAGTTTTATGGTAAGGAAAATAATTTAAATGAGAAAAAGTTCATTAAAGTTTAGTTGACCCTGACTTACATCTATCCATGTTTATTTTCTTAGATATGTGAAAGCATTGTGAGCTGAAGTGGCTCGGTGGTGAAATGCACACTAATCATGGGTTCGAGACTTAGTATGTGAAATTCTTCGCATGTTTTTTAAATGAAAATCACAGCCTTACTTTGTAAGCTACAGGAAACTAATGTAAAATAACCATCAAAGGAGTGGTTCAGATACCAATTTAAACTGAAATAGTTTGGCGCATCTTCAATCTTTAAACTCACATTAGCTACTCTCTTCTGGATCACAATTGATCTCAATAGGTGAAGTTTTTTGTGTGAAAATTTTGCTAATCAAGTTTCATGTTCTGGTTTATTTTATATCTGATTATATCTGATCAAGATGAAAAATGGATTTATTTTTGTGATCAAGATTTGAAGAAAGTTTTCGTAAGTTATAAATTAAATGAAAATGGAAATGAAATCTGTAAAGTATTATACTCAGATTGCAAACAGGATCTTGTGCATAAAAAATAAATAATTATTTCACCATTTTTGGTATTATACGAAGGAATTTCCATAATAAATACTTGATTATTTCAATATGAATGGATTAGAGACAGCGATTAGAAAAATAATTGATTTGTCTCACAAACTCTCAATCTAAAAATTTACTATAAAATCCTCAAGATTCTATCTGTAAATCATCATTAGCTAAAGATAGTTTGAACAAGAATCAAGTCACAAAAATAAAAATTTAATTAAAATTCAAAGATGAAATTCACAATAATTTGTACAATTGCAGTCGTTCTTTTGGCATGCACATTCAACATTGTCAATGCTGGTAAGAACTTTGATCAAATAAATAAATTAAGGAAGTAATAATTCGTGTAATCCATTCAAGGAGCTATCAGAGAAGATAACAAGGATATGGCTGGATCAATGAACATTGAAGTCATCAAAAGTGCCGACGACAATCAAATTGGAAGCAGCAGTGACTTTATAGCTGCAGATAAAAAAGTGGTTCTGGGTTGCGTTAAAATCATGTATCAAGAAGTTTGTTGGTAAATTGATTGTTATTGTAAAGGAAATCAACTAGAAATGCCTATTTATGTTTTCTGCTTCTAATTTGTAAATTTTTAACGAGCTTAAAAATAAAATGAAATAATTAATTTTTTATAAGAAAACCTTTTTGTTAATATTAGAAATGAACTTTTATGTCCAAAAATTAATCTTTTAAATTTCATCGAATCAGCCTTCACATGAAAAAAAATGTTTCAATTAAAAAGCCGACAATGCTTCAGAATGCCCTCGGTTGTGAATGTCTTTTATGCTAGTAAAATTGCCACTTGACAACGTCTTCTGATTGTGTTCGTTATGCATGTTGAATTCAGTTCATATTACGCAATGTGTTTTTGTACGTGAATATGCACATGTGTCAGTCTATGTTGAGGAAAGTTCAAGGTTTCTCGATTTTGATATCTAAGTGGTGCTTATTGTGCATGAAATTTGTTAAACGATGATAAATGTGAGTCATGTAGAAGAGCTATTAGTCGAATTGCTAGATTATAGACGACAATTGAATAGAACAAAATGTTTCATGAAATATTAAAATTCGAGACTATTTTTTTGAATTTAAAATAAATATTTCTGAATTTTTCTGCATGAATGTTTTGAGATAGAAAATTGAAATTTCATGTAGAGATGAAAATCCATTAATAAAACGGAAATTTTTCAATTTTCTGAATTTTTTTTTTCATTTCAATAAAATAAAAATGATTTTTTTTCAGTAGACATAGGCAACTTAATGAAGTTATGACTGAGAATATAATTTATATTTCTGATGGGCAGTAAAAAAATATCTAATTTCAGAGCATCATAAACTCATCATGTCTAAAGAGGAAATTAAAACTTTGAAATAGTTCACAAATAACATACATTTAGGGGTATAGTCAGGAATTATAATTTAATATGGAGGGGGTTGCAACTATAAATCAAATTCAGCCCTTTGCTTTAGGCATTTCTTTTAACTTAAAAACTTAATTAAAGCTTTTGAAAAAATCTACGCCTAGCAATCAGTTTCTTAAAGCAGAATCATTTTATAATTCACAATCTTATCACAAATGTGTGCTGAAGTATGCTAAATATGTAAGACATTTGTTCAGGGGAAACAATTTAAACAAAAATGTCGATTATCAGTATCCACACTTTATTAATTTATTAATATCGCCCATAAGCTGTCCATCTCATCACCCATCGGCACAGTTCAAAATTGTATTCAACATTTTAATAAATTGATTATATTCACACCGTTTTCACGTGTGAATCTATTGGTTTTGTTCAGATTGAAAAATCAGTTTTTCGCATTTTGCGATGAAATGTAGCAAGATAGCTTAACATGTTCTAAGATGAAAAGTTTGTGCCTGAAATTTCACAAAAAACAGATTTCAAATTGATTGCGGCATTGCTGAGAAAATCGCAAAATACGCTTTCTGTAAGCAAATAAGCAAACAAGCAAACTTGCAAGTTAATCAGCAAGAAATCTCAATAACGAGACATCGTAGAGACTTCTAGTTGTTTACATTTGATCCGTGCTGCTCTATAGAAGAGCTGTATTGTTTTTGGGCAAGATAGGAACAGCCGTTGCTTCAGAAAAAGCAAAAAACTTTCCTTTCTTACGAATTTTTCAAAAAAAAAGTTTACTGTGATTTTTATAAAATTCAACTTTTGACATTAAGCTTAAGACCTTCAAACTTATGCTGAGCAAAGCTCAGCTGACTCGCTAGCTTTATATCTTTTTATTTTCAATTTTATTAGAATTTGATAAATTACAAGAGATCAGATGGCGAAGCTGAATAGATCTCGATTGAAGTCAGCTACGAATAGAATCTGGGGTCGAAGTCTGACTTCAAAGTTGACCAAATGCAAAGTGCATTCTCGTGATTACAATTGATATCGCTAAATGCACCGCTGTCGACCGAGCCCTGTGTCGGAATAAGGACTTTAAAATAAAGATTTAGCCTATCCATACAACCTCGCCTGTAGAGTTGCAGCTTCACATTCAGGCTATCAATAGTGTGGTTTACAACCAAGGCAAAACTATCCCATTTATCTCATATATCCCAAAAATATTCAAAATAATTCCTGAGCCTGTATGCATTAGAATTGAGATATCCCATCATATCCTGAAACTACACGTCCAATACACTAAAGATACGTTCGGATATCTTTATTATCGTTCATACATGCTCAGGAATTTTTTGAATATTTTTGGGATATGTGGGACAAATATGATATTTGGGATAGTTTCCACGCCTTGTTTACAACTATTTTAAGTCTAAATCTAAGTTGAATCTAAGACAACATTAGCTTAACTTTCTGGTGTTAATAAGCTTAACTTTATATGCAGATTTCTTTTTCAAAGATTTTGATGCACATTAAATTATCGTTATTAGCTACCAAGTCATTACTGTTCAGAAGTTCTTGATAACATTGATGCTCAATAGATTGTCATTTTGCTTAGCAAAAATAATTTTCATCTTCTATGTTTAAATCTACAAATTCTTTACGATACCTTGTTTTCGGAAATCCCTCAACACAAACCTCCATCTAGACTCAATTAAATACTGTCCAATCAATTAACTTTCATGAACCTCATAAATCTCACACTGAACACAATCAACAGATATTTTCAAGCATTTATAAAATTCATGACGCCAATTCGCATGAAATATGAACAAAAAAGACATAAAATATGCCTGAAATAATTGCTTGAAATCACAAAATATAAAAATAAAAGTATATCCACACTAGCATAAAAGAGTAGCAATAGCATTAACGATATCATTTCGATGAGTCAATTGAGACATGTTAAACTGTGTGAAGCAATTATATATTTATAGACTTGGGAATTTCATGCTCGATTGCTATAAATTAAAGCGGATTAAATGTATTGCGAATCCTAGGTGCATTAAATGTGAGGAGATAGGAAAATTCACTTTTTTATTGTCTCTATTTGTTTGATTGAATTGAATTGTTGGAGAACGAACTCATTTGGGATGATTTTAATTAATTAGAAGGTAACTGATGAATGATTCAAATCTGAACAGTAGAAATAAATTTCCAAAATTTTCAAAACAAAAATTTATTTTTAAAAATTCAAATTTGTAAAAAGTTTTGAAATTTTGAAATTTCAACAAACTTAAAAAATTCAAATCATAAAAAATTAAAACTCAAAAAATTCAATTTTCCTTAAAAGTCGGTGAGAAAATCAAATGTCTAGACAAGTCATCAATAGCTGCAAATACTTGATCAACAGTAGGATTGATTCTCCATTCTGGTGCATCCCATCCAGAGCTTCCACTTGGATTTGTAAAGATTGTGTAGACATAAGGTATATCAACGAAAGATTTTGCGTAATCAGGACTTGTTCCTGATGTTGGATTTGCAAGATTGCTAGCACTTCCAGTACGATAACGAGCACCGGTCATTCTATTAACGTTGCCACTCATGTCATGTGCAACGGGTTGCATTCGATCCCATTCATTAGGAATAGCTTCACTGTAAATTATTGTTAAACATTAAAGATTATTTATTGCTGCTTGATAAGATAAGCAGACTTACTTTGAGAACGCGTATGGATAAGCAATCGCACCATTGAATGTATTTGGAAGTCCAGCTTGAATTGAGATGTAAGCTACTTCAACTGGTCTGGCTAAGGAGAAGAAAAGTTTCAAAAATCTTGATTCTTCTTCGGAAGCTGGTTCTGAGCCACGGAAGTTATCGTCACATGGATCAGCACTTGAATTGATATCTGAATCCCAGTAAATGTCAAAGTTTCTTTCAATGTTGACGCCAATGCAGTTGGATCCTGTGTTAGGTCTGCGATTTTTCGTCCAGGCACGGTTCTAGAAAGTTAAGGATGTTATTAAAACTCAGTTTCATCAGAATTAGTCAAACTTACACCTTCAGCACGGGAAAATTCATATCCATCTGGGTTCAAAACCTATAAATGATAAATTAACAACTATGGTCACCAAATCTAATTTATCATCAACTTACAGGCACAATAAACCACTCAAGGTAATCAACAAGTATTCTGAACTCGTGATAATGCTCGACCAATTCGTGGATAATCTGAATAAATTAAACTTTAGAATTATTTTCAAGCTTAAATAAACTTAGAACTTTACATTCATTGCAGCCATCATACTGATCCAGTCTCTAGCAGTAGCACCAGCAGTGATAAGAAGAATTGGCATAGAATAATTATTTTCCTGTAAGATGGCATTATTGACGATTCTTATGCCATAAATTGTACGATTTTCAGCAGTGATTCCCATTTCTTCAACTTCTGTGATGTTTGGGAATCGAGCACCAAGATCTAGAATGTATTCATTAATTTCATTGAGAGTCCAGTACCGGTTGAAGTCGGCTGTTCTGTAAGAGGTTGGGATGGGACTAAAACGAAGGAATTAAATGTTAAATTTTTCAGGTTCAATGACAATTTATTTTTTTAACCTGGCATTTATTGCACTAAATCCACAGATTCCTAAAAATAATAGCACTTTAGCTACTTTATTCATGTTGATTCCTTGAAATTTTAACTATAACTGAGGTATTGAACAGCTTTAGAAAATTTATTATTTTAAGATTTCTTCTTATCTGGTTTCCTAAATTATTATCTTTTATGCTGATAAACTTTGTTTTAAGTGCTTTTTAATTGATAATTTGGAAATTTGGGTTCTGTAATAAATATTATATAATTTTTGATAGCTAATTCATTGTTTTGTTGATATAAGACAGTGCTGTCCAAACTTTTTGAGCTACGGCACACCTTTCGGGGTAAGCCATGACCAAAGTCCACACAGCATGCTACTCATGTCATTTGCGAAAAATTTCTACGGCACACCAGTGTGCCGCGGCACACAGTTTAGACAACACTGATATAAAAGAAAGTTGAAGTCATTTTGTCTAATCAAATTTATATTGTGCAATGCCAAACTTTTCTTAGAAACTTATAAACTACTTGTGCAGCCCAAAAATCAAATATCGATACAAAAAACCTCAAAACTGGCCTTTGGAAGTCTTTAACCACTTACAAAAGATAATTTTGAAAACAATTTTCTAATTTAATCTTATCGTTCAGAACCACACGTTAAGTATTGAAGGAAATTGATAATAATGCCAAAAATATTTAATTTCTTATCAGCATCCACTCTAAACATAAATAAAAATACACGCAACGGGTGTTGTGACTTAATAACACTTTTATTCAATTTCTCTAAAATATTTAAGGATTTTCCAATGGCATGTCAATCGCATATCTCGCAAGCGTTTCAATAGCCATAAAAACTTGATCAACAACTGCATTAATTCTCCATGGCTCTGCATCCCATCCAAATTGTCCAAATGGTGGTGTCAAAATTGTGTAGGATAAAGGAACATCGTCAACACCAGCTGCATAATCCATTGAAGTTCCTCCAGTTGGAACCACGATGTTACTAAAAGTTCCAGTCAAATAACGAGCTCCACTTCGGAATCGAATGTCATCGCTCATATCCCACGCAACATTTTGTTGTTCCTCCCAATTATTTGGAATTCCTTCACTGAAACATCAAAGATTGAAATATAGGTTATCAGGATGAGTCTTTAGGATTCTGGCTATGGTGCTCAATATTAAGATAGGTGCATAGTTCCAACCATCTTGATTAAAAACTAAATGGTTGATTTTTTACCCAGCTTATAAACCAGAGGTCAAAGCGAACTTGTTTCGCCACGCTCGCTTCAACCTCTCTTAAAAACTGACACTTACAAACAAGCACATGCTTACTGAGCCATGCTCATTGAGTAAACATATGCTGGTATTTTAGAATGAGTGTCATTGACGTCAATTAATCACTTCCAGTCATATAATCACTCACACTAATTTCTATTCACTTTGAATAAGCATAAGGATACGTTATGAGTCCATTAATACGATCATGAGTTCCAGCTTGAAGTGACACATAAGCATGTTGAATTCTATGAAAGATATCAACAGCAAATTGAATTGTTCTTGTCTCTTCTTCAGAATCTGCAGTTGTTCCTTTAAAATTTTCAGCACATGGGTCACTGCTTGAATTTATATCCCAATCCCAGTTAAAGTCGAAATTCCTCTCAATGTTGACTCCACGACAGTCGGTTCCGTTGTTTTGTCTTCTGTTTTTTACCCAGTCGCGGTTCTATAGGATCCAACAATTTATTGCAAGCAAAGCAGGTTAAAATTAACAATAAACTTACACCTGGAGTCATTGAGAACACGTATCCATCAGGATTAGTCACAGGAACGATGAACCATTCTAAATTTTCAACAATATCACGATACAGCACGTACTGATCCAAAAGCATGTGCATTAGATTTACAGCACTCATAGCAGTAATCCAGTCTCGAGCATTTGCAGCGGCTGTGATCAACACAACTGGAAGTGAACCATCAGCTAACCTTTCAGGATCACCAATTCTAATTCCTAAAATGTCTCTGCCTTCTTCAGTTCTTCCCATTTGTTCTACTCTTGATATTGATGGATATGAAGCTTCCATTTGTCGCATGTAAGATGTAATCTCATCGTATGTCCAGTAACGATTGAAATCCATGGTGCGGTGAGTCTTTGTTTCTGGACTTTGAAGAATTGGACTAGCCAGTGCTAATGTGATAAGTGATAATAAAAGTAGAATTCTCATTTTTGCAGGTTTTATATCAAGACTTGATGGTAAAAATTAATGAAATGAGGCAAACACTAAAATTATTACGGTTTTTATGCCAAGACTTTCTCGCTGCTTTCGTTAAGAAGTATAGAAGTAATTGAGATAAGTTTAATCACGTTTTAAAATTGTTGCAATTGAGAATTTATTGATAAGATTAATTTTGAGGGCAATTCTAGCAGAGTGGCTTTATTTACACATTAATTTTAACTTTGGGATTAAGAATTGATTTTAATTTGCATTTATCTATGCTTTCATGAAAATAGTCCATGCCCTAATGGCGCAAGTCGGTTAATCAATCAGAAATCTGGCACCAAGCTCGTGTGACTTTATAATGGCGCTGGATTTAAAACTTATCCAGCACCATGCCAGAGTTATGTCGGCTGGAGGCAAAATTTCTATTCGATTAACCGACTTGTGCCATTCGGAAGGACTCCCTACAGCATTAATATTTTCTGTCTTGATTGAAAAAACAATCATGACCTCAAACATCAAAGATTAATTTGAATTATGAATTTTTTAAAATGTTATCAGCTATCAATGAGGGAATCACTTTTCTGACAAAGTTACTCTTTCACAGAGAATTGAATGATAGTCCTTATACTCACCATATTGAATATGACTTTTGAAAAAAAAATCTCAAAATTTATTGAAGAAAATTTAAATAAAAGCTGCATATATTTTTTTTTTGTTGCAGTACTGATTAAACGTTGCTCAGAGAAAGCAACTCAAGATGAATTTAATATTTTATTCGTATTTAATTTTAATCGGTAATAAAAAAATAGCTATAAGATATTTTATAGAAAATATTTCTTGAACATTAATCTCTATTAATAAACTCTTGTAAAGTTGATATAAAAATAAAAAAATATTAAAATTCTTTGATTGCCACAACTGGACGCTCAAAGTTGTTAATCCTTAAAAATCAATTAATGGGCATTTTTTTCTTTATTCACAGTTTTCCTAACAATTTCGCTCTCAAATGCTCATAAACTGCATCCGTATGGACAATCAATTACAATTCAACTTAGCGAAGATTCTGATCCAAAAACAGATTCAAGTTTTAATAAATTAAAAGAAATGTTCACACATCCGGAAGTAGCAAATCGAAAAGTTGTAATATTGTCAATTATTGGAGCTTATAGGAAGGGAAAAAGTTTCTTTTTGGACTACTGCTTGCGGTTTTTGTATGCCAATGTAAGGAATTTGAATGATATTTTCAACTTAATCTAAAAATACGTTTATTTTAACTAGTATCGATCAATTGCCACATTAAATCAACCTTTAGTCAAAAATAATAATTGGTGGGGAAGAGATGATGAGCCACTAACTGGATTTTCGTGGAAGCATGGAAGTGAACCAGACACAAAAGGAATTTTATTTTGGAGTGATATCTTCCTTCACGAGCAAAATGGTGAAAAAATTGCAATAATTCTAATTGACACACAAGGTCTCTTTGAATCAGGTAGAGACAGTAACATAGATGCCAAAATTTTTGGAGCGACAAACTTCATCACTTCCATCCAAATTTTTAATATACGAGATGTTATCCAAGAAGATCAACTTGAGCATTTAAAAATGGTCACAGATTTTGCAAAACTTACAACAAAGCGGCAGAAAGAAAAATCTTTAAAAAGTTCTTTTAAGCCATTCCAAAATTTATTGTTTCTATTTAGAGATTGGGATCATGAAGATCATGGCTACGGATATGAAGGTGGTAAAATTTATTTGGAAAATATTCTCCGTATAAAAAATGTTAAAAACATGAATGAGAAAGCTCAGAGTGTTCGGAATAATATTAAGGATTCGTATGATAATCTGAGTGCATTTTTATTGCCATCACCTGGAAGAATAATTCGTAAGAAAACCTTCGATGGTCGATGGGGACCATTAGATGACGAATTTAAAGAAAATTTTATAACTTTAATTGAATCAATTTTTTTACCGCAAAACCTGATCAAAAAGAAAGTATTTGGCAATGAAATCACAGCAAAGGAACTATTAATGTACACACTCTCGATATTTTCAGCGTTTCATGGTTCAGATCTCCCAGAAAATGATTCAGTTTTTGATTCTGCTGTTAAAATAGAACTGATAAAGTTATCTGAAGAAGCAATCAACGAGTATATGAAGAAAATTAGCAAAGGGTTAATCTACACTAATCCGAATTTTGTTACCAAACTTTTGAATGATCACAAAAGTCTACAAATGGAAGTTATTGAGAATTTCAAGAAAAAACCAAAAATGGCTGATGAAGATGTGGAAAATAAATTCATAAAAGAGTTAAAAACTACAATTAATGCAAAGTTTTCTGGATGGAAAGCTCCTGTTGTAACTTTGCATGAGCAGTTAATCGCTCAACAAAGACAATTAGATCATCAAGCTTTGGTGCAGAGAAGAGAAGGAGCAAGAAGAATTTATGAAAAAACGCCCCAATATCAATCATGCAGATTTTTCACAATGTATATGCATGATTGTGGAATGACCAATAACGTTAATTCTGTTACTTAATCTGTAATAAAATGTTCTGTTATTTATTAAATACTCAAAATTTTTTTTCATTCAAACAGCGATCTACTTGAAGATCAGACTTTCTTTATTTTTGATCTTTCAAACTTTTTAAGATTTTAAATTGCTTTTACGAATAAAATTTCTTATGTTTCCATATTTTTTTCAAATTCATTAACCAAATGATTTTTTAAAAAATTATAAGGCTTGTGGTAATAAATGGTTATTAGCGCATTTTTGAGAGTTGTTTCGAAAAGATAGCTTAATAAAACGCTTTGTTCGGCTGTTCGGGCGAAGAAAAACCTTGCATCCAGACATCGTAAAGAGCTCGGATTTGTTTTAATAACTCAGCTCTATCGAGTTATTAGCCTATCAAATATTTTTGAAGCATAGAACAATGGCTTTGTGATATAACTAATGATTTTTTTTATTTCCGTACTGTGCAACTTGCTCAATTTTTTGACTCCCTCTTTAATTTCAACATTACGTCTATAATTTCAAATATTTATTGATCGTTAGAATATTTGAATTCCAAAAACCGTTAAATGATAATTCGTTTCTATATTGATATTCATTGTAATTATTTGCTAATTACACTAAAATTAATGGTCTTCTAATCTTTTCATGATTTGTAAGTGAACGCAAAATAAGTCTTATAGCTTAAGTCCCTCGATCAATAACACGAGGACTTTTGTAATTTTTTATAGTCTATTGAACTAAATCTTAAAAGGATTATTTATTTTTCTATAGAGAGAACTTGACAATTATATTGTCTGAACTTTAAACTATTTTACTTTTGAATCTTTGAAACAGTGGACATTGAAGAACTTGTGGAGTCACGCTGAAAAAATTTCATATTCATTGTTGTTTTCTTTTTAAAACTGGACCAAATGATGAGATTTCTGGAGATTTCTTACTTTTTATTCAAAAAAATGTGAATCACAGACTTTCGAGTGTGATTTTTTTATAAATTATCAGCAGGGAATCACTGGACAAATGATAATCCACTTTCTCGAAAATAGGTTAAAAATCCTTTCGAAAGCAATCTTCTGATAATAAATTTAAAATAATTATTGCTGATCTTTCTCACCCAATTTATTAATGATTATGCAGCTCGGGGATTTTATGATAGAGATGACTTTAAGATTTCTTTAAATAAAAGCCGAATGAAAGAATTTTTAAAATCAGTTTTAATTGAACAGTACCCAAAGAAAGAAGTAAAATGAACATTTTGTATTTCTCTTTATTTATACTTGGTAAGTTATAATTTTAATCATACCTATTTAAATATTCGAACTATTTTTGAATTTATTTCTATTCCAATAATTAATATTAGTTGGATCAATCATCTCGCTTATAAATGCTCATCAGCAACATCCACATGGTCAACAGATTTCAGTTCAACTTAGTGAAGAATTAAATAGCGCTAATAACAAATTAAATGGAATTTTTGCACATCCTGAAATAGAAAATCGAAAAGTTGTGGTTCTATCGATTGCTGGAGCTTATCGCAAGGGCAAGAGCTTCTTTTTAAACTATTGCTTGCGGTTTTTGTATGCAAATGTGAGTAATTTAAATATCTCATTGAAATTTGAACTAATGCCTCACTAATCTTCTAATTAGTATCGATCAATTAACACATTGAACCAACCATTCGTCAAAAATCATAATTGGTGGGGCAGAGATGATGAGCCATTACTAGGATTTTCTTGGAAACATGGAAGTGATCCAGACACAAAGGGAATACTTTTCTGGAGTGATATCTTCCTTCATGAAGAAAATGGAGAAAAGATTGCAATAATTCTAATGGACACGCAAGGTATTTTTGGATTTGAAGCTGACCATCAACTAGATGCAAAAGTTTTAGGAATAACAAACTTCATTTCATCTATACAAATTCTTAACATAAATAATTTTATAGAAGATCATCAACTTGAGCACTTAAAGTTGGTCACGGATTTTGCACAATTAACAACAAACCGGCAAAATGAAAACTTATTAACCAGCACCTCCAAGCCATTTCAAAAGTTGCTAATTTTATTCAGAGATTGGAGTGATGAAGAATTCGGATATAGATATGGACCTGGATATGATGGCGGGGAACTTTATTTAAAAAGAGTTCTTAACTCGAAAGTTGGAACAAATCTTAATGTTCAGGATGTTCAGGATCATATCAAAGATTCGTATGATAATATCGACGCATTCTTATTGACATCTCCTGGAGAAATCATCAGTGATGAAACCTTTGATGGACGTTGGAATCTATTGAATGATGAATTTAAGGTACAAATTAAAACCTTAATTGAATCAATTCTGTCACCTAAAAATCTGGCTCTTAAGAAAATATTTGACAAGAAAGTAACAGCAAAGGAACTATTGAAGTACATTCTGTTAATATTTGCAGCTTTTAAAGGTTCAGATGCTCCGAAAAGTAAATTTATTTTTGATTCTTTTATTAAACCGGAACTTACTGAGCTGTCTGAACAAGCAGTCAATGAATATATGAAGAAAATGAGACAAAGTACTGACCACACTAATCCAAATTATGCTATCAAGCTTTTAACTGATCATAATCGTATAAAAATGGAAGTTATTGAAATTTTCAAGAATGTACCAAAAATGACGTCTAAAAATGAGTTTATTGGACTTATAAGTCTTAATATTGAAATAGCGTTTTTAAATTGGAAACCTTCTGTTAAAACTTTACATGATCAGTATATTGCTCATAAAAAACAATTAGAATATCAAGCATGGCAAAGCTTACAAGCAAGAAGAGAAGGAGCAAGAAGAATTTATGAAAAAACGCCTCAATATCAATCATGCAGATTTTTCACAATGTATATGCACGATTGTGGAATGACCAATAATGTAAATTCTGTTACATAAGCTGGAATGCTTTAGGGCAAGACCGTTTTTCGATTAAGTGTCAGATTTTGATGGTTTTTTGTCTATTACTCTTAAACGACAAACCCAACAATAAAACTTGATATATTGTTTTATAGAACTTTTTGATGCCTATCTTTTGGTATATAAATTTTTTACGGAAGTGCTATACTTAAGGCTGTGGAGTCTTAAAAGTGACAAAATCTGACACTGAATTTTTGGGAAGGGTATTTGAAGTTTTACTAAAACTAGTCTATCTCGCTTAGTTTTACACCGATTTCCATAGTTTTTTCAGCAATATTTAGTTTAAAGCTACAGTTATCATTAAAAAGTAATAAAAACAAAATGGCGACTTAATAAGTTAATTTAATTAATGTTTTTAACCTTATTTTCCTATATTTTACTATCAATTTTTAACTTACTTAACTTTTTTCTTGACACAAATATAGTTTTAGACCTTGGCTTTATGATAGAAGTCAAAAATTTTTGAAAAAAGTAGTATAATTAACTTTTTTTGGTCATTTTGTAAAATTGCCTTTAAATGGCAATTGAATAGATATTCTTTTAATTTTATGATGTAAAATGATAATTTTACATCAAATATGCTTAGCACTAGCAAAATATATCACAATATAATGTTATAGAACAAGAAAAAAGCAAAAACTTTAAAAACTTTAACCAAAAATTTTTAACCGTTTTTGAAAATTTAAATTTTTGAGTTGATTAAAGAGTTGTAAAATAGACTTTTTGTTAAATTAACTAAATTAGAAAGCTTTATTGCAGTAAACTCTTGCAGGAAAGTTGTAATTTATCATTAATTAATGCTTTTTGAAGGACAATAATGAAAATTTCAATAAATTTATATGTAAAATCAATTTTGGTTAATTTAACTAATTTTGTGTATTAATTTGAAAATGTGTGTATGATAAATGAAAGAAAATAAGATTCTCAACAACTTTTATGAACATATCAGCTCCTTTTACAGCTTCCTTCTTGGATAAAATTCACTTTGAATGTTTGATTTAGAAATTAAACTAACTTATGAAGTCGCCATTTTGAATTTTTTTGGTTAAAAATTAAGTTTTTATATTTGGCTATAAACCACTGAAAGAATTATGAAGATTAAAAAACCAAACTCTAAGTAAATCAACTTTCAATATTTGTTCACTTTTTTCGCGGTCTTGCCCTTTAATAAAGTTTGAACTTGAAATTTTTATCTTTGGATCAAATTTAATTTTTCGATTAGAATTTAACCGAATTTAATAATTATTATCAGAAGTCAACATAATGAAAACCTAACGATCGTCAGGATTTCGTTACAAAATTGAATTAACAATTTGTATTAAGCTCCTTTTCGACAGAATAGTTTCAACCAGAGCCATTTCTTATGATTCAAACTTAAAAATAACAAAATCGATTCTGAATCAATTCGTCTTCAGTTGAATTCATGCTGTGGTTGTAACACTTTTTGGGTATATCTAAACTATTAAGTCTGTAGAGCAACTAGTTCGATGTATCTTTAAATCACTTACTAATTTCTGAATAAATGTATATGATCTATGCCAATTTAATATATCTTACGAATTTTAAACAACATTACTTCCGATGGAACTTCCAAGTTGTTTTTTCACCTTCCACACAAACAACAACAACAGTCTTCATGCTCATCATTAGAAGAAAATCTAAACAATAGCAATATAATGCACTTATGAGTGAGTACAATAAACTAATCATAGAAGAATGACAAACTTGACATTGGTTGTCATGCGGCTGTGGCAAGACATCTTGCTAAACATTTTCACCTCCACACATAAAATTATTATTTTTTCCATTCTTTCGACAGCAAAAAAAATGTTTAAATCATATTTTCAATAGAATAGAAACAAAAAAGAAGAAGTAGAAAATAATTTAGGTATGAAAAAGTAGCAAAAAGCCATACAATGTGTCAACAACCACCTGTGAGTATATAAAACTTTAAGTTTATATCATTTTTCATTCATTCCATCACTGTCTATCAAGTAAAGCATTTGTTCACTTTAGAAAAATATACTTTAAATAATTTCAAGTTTTGTGAAATAAAAAAAAAATAAAATCCTTAAAGGAACTAAAAGGCTCAATTTAAATAAAGTGCAAAAAAAAGATATTAAATTAAATCCACAATCATGAATCAGTTCACAGTGACCAGTATATTGCTAATTCTCTTACAAGTGTCAAGATATGCACTCGGTAGTGGAAAAATTGTCCCCGTGGGTGTCGATAGTCAATCAAATGGAAATAAAGACTTAAAAACTGAGGAAGCACGATTCCGTGATCCAGTCATGCCTGAATATTACGACAGAGATCGTACTGGATTTGTAACATCAAATCAATATGGTAACAATAACAGCCCATACGACCGTTATGGATATAATAATAACAACTTCGATAGAGCTACATCGCAATATTATGCAAACAGATTCCCAGGTGGATATGATAGTCGTGAGAGATATGGAAATAGTAAGTTGAATTAAGTGAATTTTTCTGGATTCATTTATTGATTCAATGTGCAAGTTAGAGCAAGCTTGAATGCTGTAAATGCCTGAAATAATATTAGGATGAGCCTCTAAGTGATTCAAACTTTAACCGCACTTACTCTGAATATGTTAAATTCAGAGCATCTTGTCAGTTCCAAGATTTTTGGACAAACCAAAAACCCATTCACATCATATTCACATGCAAGCCCCTAAGTTGAGCTTTAAAAGCCAGTTTTAGTCAAAGTTTTAGTTAAGCATCTCCTCAATTTTCAATCTCATGACTTATACTCAAAGTTCAAGTTCATTCCATTCACATTTGAAAGCTCACGAATTATTGCGTAACCAAAAATCATGTGCAGTCACTAACACCTCATAATTTATAGTCATCATTATTATTTTTTTCGACAATAATAAATCACATTACAACTCAAGCATTAAGAACTATAATTTATCAATGTTAATACCTCCAAACTTCATTCAATTCATTTATTTCTATTTTACAGCACCAACATTGACTGGAAACTCATTCATTGACAACAAATTGAACTATCTTAGTGGATATGGAGCTAAGTTCCCATATGGTGCTGGAAGTGCTGTTTTTGGACCATATGGAAGTCCATCAATTGGTGGACAGACTGGTATTCAAGTTGGTCCACAAGCGGGTATAGGAGGCATGGGAGGTTTAGGAGGTTTAGGAGGTCATGGCGCACCTGGATCAGGACTATTGCCACCAGGACTTTTGTCACCAGAACTTGAAGCCAAAGCTTCACTTTTACTTCCTCTTGCTGGTGCAGCTTTGCTTGGTAAGGAAATGTCTTTTTTTGGAGCTACAAATTACAAATTTCACTTCTATTTTCAGGTATTGCAGCTTACGCTATCGTAACAGGTCCAGGTCTCGCATTAGCCGGTCCAGTAATTGGCAAAAGACGAAGACGTTCAGCATCATTCGATCAAGCACTCGAAAAGCATTTAGCATATCGTGCACATAAGCAAGCCTCACAAAAACATTAAATTTAAATTTCTCATTCCGAACAAAAAATGGAGCCACAAAATGTATCACGGGTAATGAATATAATTATGACAATGATGATGATAATGAGTTACAAAAAAAAATGTATTAACGGACGTAAAACAACGACGATGATTTAGAACAAAAAAACTGCTTAGAATTTATTGATAAAATGTAAATAGAATGTGATGAAAAAAAAATTAATGATAATAATTTGAAAGTTTTTTATTAAAATGCCTTGAACCCCAACAAAAAAAAATCATCAAAACCGCACCACATTTTACTCTTTTTGCTCTGCTTTCAGTTTGGCATTTCAAATGAATTTAATTATAATTACATCGCATTAACATTAATTATTCATTTCATAGTCAACACAATACTTGATGATAATGATGAATATTATGCGATGAAAAAAAAATGATAATTCCTCTTCGAGGCATCGCTTTCTTTTGCCTTTTTCTACATCGTCTCACATTCCAATGGAAATGAAATGAAGACAAGATGGGATGGAAAAAAATAAGACGGAAAATTCAAATGAAGGAAGATGAATAAATGGTGTTGAATTTGGGGTTTATTGGGAAGCTAGGCGCATTTTTAAAAGAGTTTGCAGCATAACAAGAGTAGAAGAATATTCAAAGACGTTGTTTAAACAAAACTTAATCGGATCCAACATTTCGAACTACAGCCATCTTCCTATTTTACCCCTCCTGACTAAAACCTAGCTAATAGGTGACATAAAATAATTAATTCTAACCCAAAACGACCTCCTTACTGTTCCAATCATCCATGCTGCGACGAATAAGCTCTTAATAAAAATTATGACAAACTGTTTTACTAGAACAAAGCCTTTAAAAGATGTCTGCAAAAGAAATGAAATTTAATCAACAAGATTTTTCTCTTATTTCTATTTTGCCTTTAAGATTCTCTTACACAACAATTTCAGTCATTATTTCATTCATCATATTTAATAATCTAATTAAATAAATAGAAGCAGCAGCTTTCTATACAATTACTTTAGGAGTGGGTATGGGGAGTTGTTTGAAAGTTGGGTTCATTGAAAACTAGAGTTTTGTTTCTCATAGCTTCATGAGCAGGCTGTTGGATTCAACCTAGACCATCCTAGAGCAGTTTTCACACTTTTCAAGTTATATAACAGGAAGTTCTGTATTTTAGACATTAGCAGAACAGTAGTGATCCGCGTAGCAAAGTTTAAGGACTTCTTCGACCATTACCCTTTGAAGACAGAACTCTGTGAGCACTTGAAAGTATTCTAAGGTCTCCTATGTGAATCGGATCAAGACGTCATTACTCTGAAATCATGGACGTCATTTATGAACACATCCCAAAAAGATGAAAATGAATGATATTGTTAAATAAAGCAGAAAATGAAAGAGTTGCAATTAATTTTGCAATCATTCATGTTTGAAATAAGCAACTGAAATACAAGAATAAAGAAAGTGGACTGGGGGGGGGGGGGGTCAAAAAATTATTAAAGATTCATTCCTTAAGATAATATTAAAATATCTTTAACACAATTCTTCATTTTTTGAACTTTAAAGATTCACATCCACTTCCAATCTACTTTTAATTAAAAACTCCTACCACACGTGTACATCACATCCAGCAAAAGTGATGATCATTGCAATATGAGTAGCAAAAACTACATTTTTTTCTATTTTCCATCAAGCATTGTTTGTGTGCAGGACATCAAGAATGAGGCAATAAATGATTCAGATCCAATTACAAAGATACATTTTCTCTCCATATTTGTGTATTTTGTGTCCATCCATTGTTAGATGCTCATATATATTTATGAACTATTTTTATGTGCACAATTTTCATCTTTTTTAATTTACTGGATGAGCAGTGGATGTGGAAATCAGCAAAGACAAACGAATTTTATTTTTGTACTTACCTTACATACTTTTTTCATTTATTTCAAATGGCAACTCATGTACTCAGTCATACGGTACACTGGATGTCATAAAGGATGAAGATGTGATGAATGTTCCTTGTGGTGAAATCTTAGTTGAACTTTCTGATTAAATTGGACTAGATTTTGGACTAGAAACTTTACCTAAAATGCTTAAACAATAAGAATCAAATGAACCGAATGTTGACTGAAAATTCTCACGCAAAGTCATCGCAAGGAAACATCTCCAATGTCCAGGTGATGCTGAATATTTTTTTTCTATTTTCAATCAACCGGAACTGTCGGACAGTGAATATAAAAAATCTGCTGAATTTACAGAATATTTTTTTTTTTCTATCAATTTTATTTTTTCAACTAAATGTGTGATAGCTAACATTGAAATCAATAGAAAACGCACGTATAGAACATCCAATTGTCTCCCTCCATTCATTGCTTTTGTATGTAAGTGAAGGCAATTGACTCATTTTCCATTTCTTCTCTTGACTTTTTTATGTGGGAAAGAATATTCATACGGTAAATCGGTAAAATCCATTGCTATCAATCATAAAAGGATTTTGATGAATGTTCACTTTTTTAACGCTTCGTTTGAAGCATTTGATGGATATAGATAAGTGAATCATGTTGGTATCATAGAGGATTGCATTGAACTGATAGAAAAAATATGCTAGATTGTGTAATTGTTGGAATTTTATGGGCTTTTGTTATAAGGTTTCTGGTTACTTCACAGTTTAATGGAAATTTCAGTCTTTTCAGATTTGAAATAAGGAAAAGTATCAAAGCTCTTTTGACCTAGCTACTTGATACTAAGGTCCTGTTACTAGCTACTTAGTACTAACTTCTTGCTACTATGTACTAGATACTTTATATTAACTCCAGCTGCTAGCTATTAAGTACTGGCTCCTAGCTATTAAGTACTGGCTACTAGCTCCTATATACTTAGTACTAGATCTTTGAAATTTTCAAACTTAATTTCCCTAGACCAAAAATACTCAGCCAGCCACAAAAGTGTGGCTTTTAATCCAACATAAAAAAAAATATATTTAAATTGCTAGACAAACAATCATTTTTATTGTTATCCACAAAAATTAAATTAAAAATTGCAATCTTCAGCAGAAAATACAAAAAAAAAGTTAAATTATTGAATGAATCTTATTTTTCCAATCCTACAGAACAAGAGCACTCAAAATACACACGTGTGACAAAGATAGTGGCACAAAAGAGAGAGAAAATTGTCACAAAAACAGAGAGGGAAAGAATAAAATTAAATAAATTGTTCAATTTGAATAATTGAATCATTTATAATTGAGCGTTGAATTATCCTGTTCTGGTTTTTAATCCACATCTGAAATGAAAACACATCACAATATTTTTAGCGGGATTTTTCAGAAGATTGAAAAGTTTTTGATGGAATTGAGCATTTTGGGTGGTTCAAAGATTTTTGTTGAATCAATGTCAGATGATAAATTGTGGGAAGGGCTTAGCCTATTGAGCTAAAAGCACTACGATTCAATTAGAACTGAATCTATTCAGATCTACACTTTATAGTAGAATGATATGTTAATTGAATCAGGTATAATGGTATAAAAACTTCTGTAAGCACTAATATCATCTAGCTCAGATGCTGTGTTTACCAAAGCGCCTTAAAGCAAGCTATGATCTGCTATGATATACAACAAATCAGTATGCATGGTCGGAGCAAAGAAAGAGTGGGTATAGGAGAAGGAAGTTGGGAGTTTTGAGTCCATATTCTAAAATCTAGAGGTAGGGTAGCCTATTTTTGAATCGAATTCCAATATACTGAGCATAGCTCGAAGTTCAGTCATACAAAATCCATGAGTACTAAGTCAGGAAGGGCTTAAGTTGCCCATGAAACTATCTACTGACTACACCCCAGTTTGCATAGCTTATAAAGTGAAAGACAAAGCTTAAGTAAACATTACCAAGAGCTCGAAGTCGATTCGGTTGCAGTCGACTTGACTCGACTCAAAAGCAAGTAAACTCTGGTCTTTATCCAGTCTTAAGTTACAAAAATCACTTAAATTCATAGAAAAATGCGCTCCAGAAGCAACTTTTCCACGAAAATTTCATACAGAAAAATATTTTATTGTATATGCTGTGATAATAAAAGTTTTATCTGACAAAATTGAAGCTTATGCAGCGTCAGCCAACAGAACAAAACAGAAGCAGAAGCATGTGAACGAAATGAATAAATAAATAAAAAATCTATTAGAGAAAATTAAATGACGATTGAATTATTGGAGGAGAAAATGAAAATTAAATTGCTACATGTCACAATATGCAGCATAATAGAAATGGAATAGACCAGAGTATATTTATCATTTAAGACTATTAGGATCATGTCAATGTCTCAATTATAAATGATCCTTTTTAGTGCTAATTAACAAAACAAATTTGATAAATGGAACATTTTGGACCAATAAAGAAAATTGATTTGAAATTTAATTTCATTTTCTGGTCAATTGGCTGCTGTGCCTTTATCAAATTAAAAAATCTTGCATGCTGCCAAAACCGAATTTGTGCAGTTTAATGTGCCATGTGATTTTTTTTGTCTTGTAGACTTTTTTCGTCGAGAGAACTTTTGAGCTCGTGAAACATTTTCTCATTCTCAATTTTTTCGCCGCTTTCTCTCTCAACTCTCTTTGTAGACATTCTCAGTTTATTTACATTTTCACAACACAACACACGTTTCTGCACACACAACAAGCACAAGAAAAAAAAATATATTTTTTTTGTACGGCAATTTTCCGACAAGAAAAATGAAAATGAAGAAAAAATGAAAAACCAGAAAAATATTTTCCAATTGACTGCTTCAGTCGACGTTTGTGTTTACGGCAATCGAGACGCATTTTCGTGTGTTTTGTGAACGGGAAAGAAAATATTCGGGAAAATTGATGAAAATTTCGATGATAAATTGAAGAACTTTGAAATTGATTTTAATGAGTTTAGATGAAATTAAGAATTTAAAAATCGAGAAAATTCTAATTAAAATTAAAAAACTGAAAATCTCATAAGAAAGTCGGAAAAGATCTGAATTTTTACATAAAACTAATAAGAAAAGCTACAAAACTCTCACGCGTAATTAATACCAAGTACATGAAGAATTTCTTATTTTAAAAATCATAATTTACGTTAAATGCGCGATTAAAAGACGACAGACATCATCAAGAATGATAGAAGAGCATTCATAATATTATACA